AGGGACAGGGACAGGGACAGGGAGAGGGAGAGGGAGAGGGAGAGGGAGAGGGAGAGGGAGAGGGACAGGGACAGGGACAGGGACAGGGACAGGGAGAGGGAGAGGGAGAGGGAGAGGGAGAGGGAGAGGGAGAGGGAGAGGGAGAGGGAGAGGGAAGAGGCAGTTCGGTGAGAGAAGGGGATGAGAGTGTAAAGGAAGAACAAGGTCCAGTACATTTTATAGATGCGTGTGTGAAATTATAAAAGAATAGCAGGCCCATACACAAACCCACACAGCAACAGCCATCTGATTTTTTTAGAAAAGATGAAAAAAAAAAACAAACCGGAGAAGAGACAGCATCTTTAACAGACGGTACTGGAAAAATTTAATGTCCACTTGCAGAAAAATTACACTGGATCCCTATCTCTCTGACCTTGTACAAAAATCAGCCCCAAATAGATCAGAGGCTTTACGATGAAACCTGAAACACTGAAAGGGATAGAGGGGAAAATCAGAGAATATACTTCAAGATTCGACATTAGCGGGCTGGAGAGATGGCTCAGTGGTTAAGAGCACTGACTGCTCTTCCAGAAGAAATGGGCTCAGTGTCAAGCACCCCGTAGGGGCTCACAACCATCTGTAACCCCAGTTCCAGGGGATCCAATGTCCCCTTCTAGTCTCCTGGAGCACACAAGTGGGGCACAGACACTGCAGGCAAACATCCATATATATAAACTATTTTTTATTAGGAAAAGATTAGACATAGGTAAGGACCTTCTGAATGGGATTCCAGTTGTCAGGAAATGAGGCCAACAACTAACTAACAGGATCTCGTGAAATTCAGAAGCTGCAATTCAGAAGAAACAACCTAGTAGGAGACACCCAACAAAACGGGAGAAAAATGTCTGCCAGCTAAACATCTGACAAAGGATTGATATCTAGAATATACAAAGAACTCCAAACTAAACAGAAACTAAACAACTCAATCAATAACAGGCTGATGAAGTGAACAGATGGTTCTCAGAAGGTGTACAAAGAGCCAATAAAACAAACCAAACAAAACCAAAACAAACAGAAAACTTTTCACCCTCACCAACCACCAAAGAAACGCACTTCCAAACTCCACTGAAATTCCATCCTACCCCAGTGAGAATGTCAGTCATTGAGAAAACACACACACAAACTCTCTCTCACACACACAGGCACGCACGCACGCATGCACACACATACACACACGCATGCACGCACGCCCACACACACACACAAGATGGAGAACGGAGCTGGGTACTGGCATACCTGGGAACCTGAGTCGGGATACTTAGCGATCATATAAAAAGCTTGGCATGACAGCATACACCCCTTAACCTCAGTGCTGTGGGAAGTAGAGAGTAGAGGCAGGAGGATAGCTAGGGTTAGCTGGCTGCCAGCCTAGCTCTAGGTTCAGTGAGTGATAGAACAGGACACTAGATGTCCTCCTCTCTCCTACACACACACACACACACACAGACACACACACACACACACTTGCAAAACAACAAATACTGTCAAAATTAAATCCTTAAATCCTTACACATAGCTGGTGAGAAAGTAAACTAGTCCATGGTAGAAATCAACTCCTCAAAAAACTCAAACTATTTTTACCATGTAATCCATACACCACTCCTGGTATTTATTCAAAGAAACCCCTCAGCCAGCCACAGAGATCCTTACACACTCATGTCCACTGTAGCACTTCACAACAGCCTGAGTGTCCACCAACACAGAAGCGGGTTTTAAAATGTGCCTATCTACACAAACATGGAATTTCTTTCAGCCACAGAGAGCAAAGTTATGTCATTTTCAGGGAAATGGGTGCACGTGGACATGTTCACATTCAGCGAATTAAACAGATCTCAGAGCGACAAGCTATCTTTCTTATTTGTTATCTTTCTCATTTTAGTTCATAGACTTTGCATGGTACCTAAAGTCGCAGATGTATACAGGACATCAAAGTAGAACCGAAACTGCCTAGAGACAAAAAAGACTAGCAAGAGGAAGAAGAAAAGGGAGAGCGGAGGACATTCTGAACATACCTGAACATACCGTATCTACTTGTATGAAAGTGTCTTTATTGGACACCGCACCATGTCCATTGAATACACAATGAAATCATTTTCAAGTACATATTCAACAACAACAACAAAATGTGCCACCTCTCTAAGTGTGAGCCTTCTTCACAGAGCCTCAGAGAGCATCAAACGGAAACAAAGCATAGAGAACCCATGTCGATGTGGGCTGTTTTACTTCCTTGCAATATTATGATTAATTCTATCATTCTGAACCTTCACAGTGTGCTATGGCTTGAAGGTAAGATACACACACAGGCACACGCACAGGTTTGCCAGCTGGTGGTGCCATTTTGGGAGGTTGTGACCTAGCCAGAGGAAGTGGGTCATTGGAGCATGGGCTAGAGAGTTACAACTCTGCCCTCCCTCCAAGAGTCTCAGCTTCCTGAAGGCCCTAGGGTATAAGCAGTTACTTCACACTCTTACCACAGAGCAGCACCTCCGTGCCTTCCCCGGCATGACAGTCAGCAGCCTTTTCAACCAGGGGCCAGCATGAACCCATCCTCCCTTGAGACGTTCCCCTGAGGTCTGCAGTCCCAGCATTGAGAAGTAGCTGACACTGTGTGCAACAATGCCTAGAAGCCTAGATGATCAGGAGCCCCAGGCACTCTGTTCATCCAGATGAGCCATGCACTGGAGTGGGGAGGATGGAAAGGGAGAAGAATGGGGGGGATCGATCCCAGCGAAGGACTCACCCAGCAAGGTCAGCCTTGGACGAGCGGTCTCCTGTGTGCCCTGGCAGGTGAACACTGCCCCAGCACACCTCCCTGAGCACACATGCAGCCAGCTACCAGGGTGTGACTCTCTGACACACCTGCAGAAGACTGCCCTCAGCACAAACTTCCCCCCACTTAAAGGAACAGGTGTTCAGGAATGCCTTGAGGTTTAAAGGCTACCAAAGTCACACAATGCTCACCTCTGGTCTCTCAAGACCACCCTCTGGAACAGATGTGGCCTCTGGGAAGCAGATGTGCCCCCACTTCCAGCAGGGCAGAGACACATGGTAGTGTGTCACAAAGTTTGCAGACTGACCACAGAGTCAGTTTTAGAGAGCCTTAGCAAAATGGAGACAGGCATCCTTGAAGGGAGGAACTTCCTGCACATGTACCTCAGCAAAAATCTAAGAGTACACCCCCAAATAAGAAGTATCACAAAAGACTCTTCACAGCTAAGGCCACTTCTATGGGGGCCTCTTTCCAGTAACAGCCAGTCCTAACACAGCTAATCTGCAGCCAAGATCCTCTCCCAGAAACACCCGGGGCACAGCTCACTGCCTATGGCCCACCTCGAGGGCCAATGAGTTTATTTTTAAAATAACCTGCATGGACTTCTCTCCTGCTTTGAATAGTTTCCCCAGCTGTTGCCTACATCAGAAGACCCACAACTTAGCTCACAATCCTCTGCAGAGTCCAGGTTACACTCAGGTTCTTAGGAGCACACCTCTTCCTGCTACCGATTTAAATGGACATTTTTAAGTCATGGAGATATACAAGGTGCACTGTGCCCCTGAGTGTCAACAGAGTGACAACAGGTCACTACAAGGTTTGAACTTGATCGCAAGCTCAAAATGGAGCCACCCCGAGGTGTATGCCTGGAAAGAAAAATCCCTCACACTTCAGAGCTCTGCCTCCAGGACCAACATGGAGTTTGGCCTGGAGGTGAGCTACTGGCAGGGATGGAGGACAGAGAAAAAGCTGTGTCTTTGGTACAGTATGATGCTATCTAAGATATGGTACAGATATGAATAAAAAAGACCAGACCTACAGCCCAGGCAGAGAATTCATGAAGCAGGAAAATGAAACAGAGAATTTCTAAAGCGTTATCATTGATTTAGCATCTTCATCTGGTTTTCAGCCTGTGTCCTCCCATGGATCACTTCTTGTCAGGGTGAGGAAGCAGAGCTGTGTCCCATCACCTGGAGTCACTCAGCATGGGGCAGCAAAGCCAGAATGTACCAGCTCTGACAAAGGAGAAACTGAGGCTCATGGCAGGGAGGTGACCCCTGAAGGATCCAGGAACCCAGCATGTAAGCACAAGGCTCCCAAACAGCAGGGCCCCTTATCTGGTGTCCGCAGTGGGTGATACTGGACACAGTAAAGATGGCTACTGAGGCCAGAAAGAAATGGTCCCTATTGTAAAGTAACCAGTGGAACACAGGCCTGTTGTCATGAAGACTGGCCCTGCCTGAGAAGCATTCACTCTGTCAGCACTGTGAAACCACACAGGAACCTTGGCTGGGAAAGAAATGATAGACAGATATCAATCAAGGCTACCTAGCAGAAAAGTATTTAGGAAACACTGAAATTAATCAACAGGTCCCAGGGTTGGGACTTTAAGAAAGGCCATCTGGTCCACCCCCACACGCTGGCATTTCATCTAGGCTCTGCCCTATAGTTACCTAGCAACAGCCAGTTGTGCCAACTCACTATAAAAGGGACTGCTTGTCCCTCCTCCCTCCTTGCTATCTTGCTCTCTTCTCCTCTTGCCCCTTGCCCTCTTCCCCACTCTCTTGCCACATGTTCATGGCCAGCCTCTGCTCCTCTCTTCTTTTTTCATCTCTCTCTCTCTCTCTCTCTCTCTCTCTCTCTCTCTCTCTCTCCCTCTCCCTCTCCCTCTCCCTCTCCCTCTCCCTCTCCCTCCCTCCCTCCCTTCCTCCTTTCTCTCTCTCTCTCTCTCTCTCTCTCTCTCTCTCTCTCTCTCTTTCTTTCTCTGTCTCTACTCCTCTACTCCCCTCCCATGTCCTAAATAAACTCTATTCTACACTATATCGTCGGTATAGCTGGTACCTCGGGGGGGGGGGGGGGGGGGAGAAGGGCTGCCCAAGCATGGGCCCAAAGAGGCCCCCCTTTTCCCCACACCATATCACACCTCCCCCAAACATATCCCTGGCCTCTTTCTTTTTATGAAACACAACACTCACCACATAGATGGACATCAAGTCAATGGGACTATATCTAACTCCTAAATACACTTGGAGGCAGGATTTGAGCATATGCCCTTCCACCCTCTCATCCTCACCCCTGTACTCTTTCTACCAACATCTCACTCATACTTGTCTAGTCATGGCTGCCCCAGGAAGCTAACATGGACCTTGAGGCCCTGAAACCCCCGGTCTTCCATGGGTGCAGAATGAAAGAAAAAGAGCCAAGAACTCATTCCAGACCTTGGGCCAAGTTCCAGCTCTAGCCCTTACTGTCCTATGGCCTTTATCGAGGATGTCACCTCAGAGTCCTGGCACTGTTGTATGGGTGAAGGTATCAGCCCTAAGCAAAGCCACCTCCGCAGGACAGAGTGACCCAAAGAACACTCATCCCCATACCAGCGACCCCTCCAGAGCCACTACCTACATCAGGGCCAGGTCCTCTTGGCCACCAGGGTGCCCGGCTCCACCTGCCTTGGCGCCCTTCTCGCTGCACCTCGCCGTCCATCTGCCTCCTACAACTTGCCAAGCCACTCAACCTCAGAATCAATTTTAAATAGAAAAAGAAGTCAATGAATTCTAACAGTCCTAACATTAATTCTACTTCCGGTATATACAGCTTGACTTCCGGTCTGGCTTTTGAAGTCAGAAGGAAGTCTCACTCTGAAGCTTGCCTCTCCCCCGGACACGCCCCTTTCCACCCTTTCCATGCTCTCTGTCCCCGCCCTTCCAGAAAAGAAAAAAAGAAGAAAAAATCCCCGGGGGGGGGGGGCTAATCATTTGGCACATACCCACACTGAATAAATAAATAAACGTAAAAAAAAGCCCATCCTTATAGTTTTGTAGTGTCTCTGTCTCTCCGTGTGTCTTTTTAGTTGGAAGATCAGGCTACCTTACCTATAAAAAAGCAGCTTTTCCTATCATAGTTACAAATGGTAGCTCACAGCTGTCTTCACCACCTCCAGGGCTGGGCTGGGGCCACTGAAATCATGCACTGGTTATCAATTCTCTCTCCAGGACAGAGACTCTGCCCCTCAAAGCACACAAATAACCAACAGCCAGGAAGCCCTGGAGGTGCAAGATTTAAGAAGGGCAAGTTCACCTCAGCACAGCCTGTTCTCAGGAAACAATAGAATCAGCAGGGTGTTCTAAAAGGAGCTTCTCAAACCTTTTTTACCCTTTGTCATGAAATAGAATCTTATCCTGCTCTTCCCTGGGCACCCCCTGGTCTACCAGCCACTTTCCTCAGATCGGTCTGAAAGCTTTGAGTGCAGAAAGAGAAGCAATGCTCTCTCTCACTCCAGAGGCCCAGACTCATTAGCTCTCACCTTTCAGTGTCTGGTACAACCCAGTATCTTGCTTCCTCTGGGCCTGGTGCTTGAGAGGCTGAGGAGGAAGCTCCAGCACCTGCTAGCACTCAGTAAATACCACAGCCCAGCAGCAGATGGGGGCCAGGAAACAGGAAGACTGAACCCCAGCAGGAGACCAGGCTGATCCTCTGAGACCTGCGTCTTCCACCTTCCTGAAACCCCCAATAGGTACTACAGGCTGGACAGAGCAGCAGACACACACACACACACACATACCAAGAGAACTGGACTCTCACTTCCCAACCACATCAACTCCAAAAGGAGACCTGTCCATTGTGCCAGAGAGCATGAGAGGATAGAGCTCAAGATGGCTCCAAGTCAGGCCATGCATCTCAAGTCAGCAGTGACATCTCAAGGTATCACTGCTGCTTCCAGATTCAGGAACAGTGTTAAAACAAGTGGGTGGCAGGCAGTGTAAGCGAGCACCCCTCATCACAGCCCATCCTTCTACCAGGCCCCCTGGTCGAACAAGAAACCGTATCCTCGGCATTGGACTGATAAGAAACTTGCTGCAGACTGAAAGCATTAAGTCTGGAAGGAAACCCCAGGCACTTCCCAGCTGCAGAAAAAGCTACCTGTTTTATTCCCTACTCCTCAGAGCAGCACAGTGCAGGCATGCTCATGGAAGATGCCAAGAACACACTCAGAGATGAGCAACCAGGCTCCTTCCTGCACACCCAGCTAGAGCCTCCAAGAACAAAACACCACGCTGACAAAACCAAACACCACTGAGGCATTCAGATAAAATAGAAATCCCAGAATGTTTGACACTGTGATCCCAGTATAATCGGACTTTTCAATTTTCCACTACAAATACAATTTCTAATTAAAACAACAAAATCTCTGAATTTTTTAAGACATTCAGAAACGCATTCAGAGACCAGATCTGATTGTCACCAGAGCTGTTTATTGGCTCAGGAGAGTGCAGGGTGCTTCCCTCTCAATGCTCTGCATGTGAACTCCTCATACATGAAGTCCTTCAGCTTCTCATATATGATCTTACCAAGGGCTGAGAAGGAGATATGGAGGTAGAAATCGGTGATACATATTCTGCAAGAATAGATAAGTGCCAGAATCTGTATCCTCCTCTCTTTAGACAGAATCCAGTAAAATGAAGAAATATATGCCAGCTGATAACAGCTACCACTGATGCAGCTCCTGGTGAGTGCCAGAAACTGTTGTAAAGCTTTTAGACAACTGCTGCTCTGACGCCCATGAGATGGCTCTGCCCACACCAGGACTGCCCTCCCCTCCTGAGGGCTCAGTAGACACACCACTTACCCATAAGGCCTGGAGTTCAATTCTCAAGAACCCACATAAAGGAGTAGGCATGAGGGCCCTCCTGCAATCCCAGCACAGGAGAGGCAAAGACAGGGGCTGCTCCAGAGCAAGCTGGATACTCAGACTAGTTGACATGGCAAGCTCTGGGTTCAGTAAGAGACCTTTTGTCAATATATAAGGTGGAGAATGATCAAATAAGGCAAATGATGTCATCCTGGGGGGCTTCACAGGTACACAGACATATATACACATGCACACACATGTGAACACACATACATGATTCAAAAAAAAAAACTAAAGAGATCAAAGAAATAACCACCTGCTAGTAACACAACAGGAAGGGTGAATTCCTCAGACAATATATTTAGTAAGTGGTACAGCCAAAGGGTATGGCTCTATTGTCTTTTGTCCTAACCTGTTCAGGGGTGTGACCA